AGGCAGATATTACACACCTTAAATAGCACAAAACATAGACTACAGTAATTTTTATTTTAAGTATCATCTCTGCATTTAGACCCTGGCATGACCCATGCTGTGTTCTGGCTTCATTCCAATCTGCTGCTTTCTCTGGGAAGGCCTGGTCTAGGTGAGAGCCTCGCTGACACCCCTCTGTATGAAATATCAATGTGAATGACTCACTCCCAAGTTTGGTGTCAATCATCAGCGCAAATGCCAAACCCATTATCACCAAATCTTTTCAAGAAGTTGTTTTGTCCATCTGGTGGCAGAAGCAGCAGCCTTTTTTCGAAAAAGAGGGAAGATTTTCACAACAGCATTCGGTCTTTTGAAGAAGCTTGTTTTCCCCCACAGGGTGAAGAAACTAGATTTTCAATTTACCTTTATAAATGACCTTGCAAACATCCAATTCTCCATTTTTGGTTGCACACACTTAATTTTTAGCTTAGTTTATTTGGTGTGTGTGAAGGAAGGTGGAACTTGTATTAAGTCTCATAGAGATGGATAGTGTCTGCTCAGTGCAGCAGTGATACAAATAAACATACAATATTTATTTCCAACCAACCACCTCTAAGAATATTGAGCATCAGTTCTATATAGTCTGTTCTATCATTTGCACCAGTGACATAAATAGGCTTTACCTTTGTTCTTTTGGCCAAAGCTTCTTCAAGATGTGACTGAAGTATGTTGTGACAAGTGCTGCACACTCCAGTAGAGGACTAGTTTGTCTCCTGGTTGCTTGTGTCGACTGTTTTCATAAAAGCCAGCCTACTTCGCTGTTTGTGTTTCTGTTTTCATTTTCCTTTTTTTGTATTGAATAGCACAACAGGCAAGTTCATTATGCGTGTGACTCATCCCACTAGCCCACACCCCCTCCCCATCTGCTGCTGTGCGCTGGAAAGGAGAGGGAACCGCCATTGATCACTTCTTCCCTCACACATGCACACACACACCCCACCTTCAACATCACTATCGATCGACATGTTTAATGTTTTTGTGGGGAATAGCTGGTATTTCCTTTTTTGTGTCATTTTACATCTGTTCCCCACCATTTGCTGACATTATACTACATCACAGAGCAGAAATGGGGAAAAAATAAAAAGTAAAGCATAAGCCAACCAATTATTCAAACATTTGCAGACTGTTCAGTCAGTCCTGGGCTGCAATCTTTTTGTGGCATATATCCTTATGTATATAAGGAAATGTGCATGGACAGGAGATGTTTTCTGCTTTGCAAGTGGTAATCCATGGACACAGCTTCCAGCTACCTGACTAACCGCAAAGATGCTGTGGCAGAATGATTTGGCAGGCGTTGGACATTTCCTTGATAAGACATTTTCCCCCTCCCTCTCTCATTATATGATAAATAAATGGTGTTTAACACTTCATATATGCTTGTAGCACACTATAACATTGACATGCAAGTACAATAATATTCTGAAGTAGTTTTTCACACATTTATAAACATGTTAATACATGTAAATAACACAAAGTGCATGCTATACAATGAAAGGTAAAGGTATCCCTTACTGTCTTCTCATGCATCTTTTTTTGGGTCAACCTAAAAGTTATCCAATTGGATTTTTACATGTGTTTTAGAATATATTAACAAAATATCTTCTGGAGTAGCCAAACGTTTAAATGCTATTTCCTCACCAAGAACTTTTTGTTGTTTTTGTTTATAAAGTTATTACACTGTATGTAGACAGCTAACATCCAACAGTTTCAGAATACATTTTTAAATATTAATAGGAAAAAATTAAAAATTTTAAATCCACCACAGAACTTGTTTGGGAAGATATGCATTGTGAATGTCGTGGCTCATGGTGATGTGCAATGAGCAATGTTTTTGATGGCATGCGTCAAAGATTGTCTTCAAATGTAGCAACTGCCACCAAAACCACGACACATGAAAGGACCAGCAATGCAGAAACAGATTTATTTTTCACATGGCAAACAAAATAGCAATTCTATCTTATTTTTATGACCTAACAGCGATCCTGTGGTTACCTTACATTACTTTACAAGTGCAGAGTGGTAGTTCTTGGACGCACGGACTGTGTGGGCATCTCCAAGCGCACCTGCTATTTTGGTTCATGTTTATGCAGCAGTGCAAAGTGCAAAAAGGCTGGGTAAAGTGGAATATAAATGGAGGGTGTGGTGCTTAATAAATACACTCTCAGCCAGTCAAATTATTACTGGTCTCTTTGCTCTGAAACAGCTGTGCCAATCACAGGGAAGCATGACAGCAGTAGCTCAACAAATGTGTTACTGTACAATGATGATCAAATAAGTAAAGTTGGTGAAGCCATTTATGACCCAATCAATACAACGCTGTTTCAGTTTAAATTCTAATATATATATATATTCTGTATTCTAAACTATGACATGGCAGCATTTGCACCGTTTACATTGTCATTTACATTTACTTATTTGGCAGATGCTTTTATCCAAAGCGACCTTATAATTGAGGAACAAGCATCAGTAAAGGAAGAGATCTACAAGTGACAATAGATACTAGTAAGAGCAGCAATAAATACTAGCACTATATTAATGGAGCAAGAAGTAAGCTAACGGATGCAGTCAGCTGTGGTGTCACAGATGAGAACGGCCGGAACATAAACTTGTATGAGGGAGTTTGGGTAGATGGGTGCGGACCCAGTAGTCACTCTGTATGCAAGTATTAGTGACTTGAATTCGATTCGGCCATGGGTAGCCAGTGGCAGTAGCTGAGTAATGGAGTAACATGATTCCTTTTGGGTTGATTGAAAACCAGACGCGCTGCCACGTGCTGAACCATTTGTAGAGGTTTCACCGCACAAACTGGAAGACCCACTAGGAGGGCATTGCAATAGTCGAGGTGAGAGATAACCATGGCCTGTACCAGAAGCTGGGTGGTGTACTGAATAAGGTAGGGCCTGATTAAATAAGTGCTGGCCCTGTCATGTTTATCTTGTGTCAGTATGTTGTTTTGTTTTTTTCTTCAAATGAACTGTTCCCACAATATATTTTTAATCTATCACAGCCTTTTAAAATGCAAAGAGCAGAACAAAATAACAACATAAATATAACTTGTAGAGGATTTTTAACCTTACTGTTTGCCTCTCATAGAGGATTTTCTGTTATGACAACACCAGTAATAATACTCAACTTTATTGTCACATACAATTCTACACGCATGCAAAATTTAACCCATCCTAATTAGGAGCAGTGGGCAGCTATGGTGCAGTGCCCGGTGAGTAGTTTGGGGTTCAGGGCCTTGCTCAGGGGCATCTTTGGCAGTGGTCCATACTGGACTTGAAACGGTGACCCTCTAATTATCAAGTTCCCACAGACTAAACTAATGCTGCCTCACTGAATATTATAATAATATATGTTGATTAAATAGTTTTTTGCGTTAAGAGCTGTCCAGACATCAGTGACATGACTTTTTATGGTATTAGCTTGGAAGCAATAGGCAAGGCACTGAGGATTTATACTTGATAATGACCATCACACTTTTTCTATTAAGTACAAAGACAACCCTCTTCATCAGTTCAATCTATATACAGTCCCCTCCAAAAGTATTGGAATGATAAGGCAAATTCCTTTGTTTTTGTTGTTCACTGAAGACATTTGGGTTTAAGATCAAAAGATGAGTATGAGACAAGAGTTCAGAATTTTTGCTTTCATTTAAACAACTCAGGACACACCACTCTTTGTTTGAACCCACCCATTTTTGAAGTGAGCAAAACTATTGGAACATGTGACTGACAGATGTTTCTTGTTGCCCAGGTGTTGCCTTTTAGGTTGACTGTCCAAACATTAAATAGCTAGACTTGTCTAAGTTTTCATCCTAGGTTCAAACCTATAAAGACTGCATTTCCTAAAAAAGAGGATAAACCAACATGAAGACCAGAGAGCTGTCTATGGGAGAAAAGCAAGTCGTCAAGCTGAGAAAAGAAGGAAAATTGACCAGAGCCATTGGACAAACACTGGGCATAGCAAGCACAACAATTTGGAATGTCCTGAAAAAGAAAGAAACTACTGGTGTACTGAGCAACAGACGTCCAACAGGTCGGCCAAGGAAAACAACAGTAGTTGATGACAGAAATATCGTGAGAGCTGTGAAGAAAACACCCAAAACATCAGTAAGTGACATCACCAACGCATCACCCCATCACCCCACACTGCAGGGGTGAAGGTATCACAATCCACGGAGAAGACTCAGAGAGCAGAAATATAGAGGCCGCACCACAAGATGCAAACCACTCATCAGCAGTAAGAATCGAAGGAAATTTGCAAAGAAGTACAGAGATGAGCCACAAAAGTTCTTGAACACAATCTTACGGACTGATGAGACCAAGATTAATCTCTACCAAAGTGATCAAAAGGCCAAAGTGTGAAGAAAGAAAGGAACTGCTTATGATCCGAAGCATACAAGCTCATCTGTGAAGCATGGTGGTGGTAATGTCAACGAAGGGTCACGGGCTTGAGGCAGTTTACTGCAAGCAAGGATTATGCCACCAAATATTAAATGTTATTTACTTTAAAATTATTTGTTCCATTACTTTTGCTCACTTAAGAATGCTGTGGTCTAATACAAATAATGATGTGTCCTAAGTTGTTCTAACACATCTACACATCTACCTGTGAATACCATGAAATAAAAGCTGTAATTCTGAACTCTTGTCTCATACTAATCTTTTGATCTTAAGCCCAAATGTCTTCAGTGAACAACAAAAACAAAGGAATTTGCCTTACCATTCCAATACTTTTGGAGGGGACTGTATATTGAGGGAGTCTACCATATCTGTCATTTTGAATTAATTTCAGTTTTAATATAGACATAGACACATAAGTACCCTGAGATAAGACAGATTCAGAAAAATCTGATTTAAAATAACACTTAAACATAAATGAAGAATTAACATTGTAATGGTAATGTGTTGATGATTATTTCAATATATGGAGTCCTGGTGTGAGGAGAATGTGTTGTTCTCTTTCTTTCTCGCATGTAGGTGGTCCTGGACATGACATTTGGAGGTGGTGGTCATACCAAAGCAATACTGAATACGGTTCCTGAAGTCACAGTCCTGGCCTTAGACCGAGATCCTACAGCAATTTTACTGGCTGAGCAGTTAGCCAAGGAACACTCGTAAGTGATTTATTGATTTATTGATTCATTGTATAGTGATTTATTATTTATTTATTTATTGTTTATATCAACTAGACCAAAACACAAGTTAAAGCTTATGTTAAGCTGCCTAGAAAACTGTTGATACACTGCCATGTTTTTTTGCCATACATTTTTATAATTACATCTGACAGCTTGACCATTTTGAGCAGTATTTAGTTTGTGGTCATTGTTTCTTAAAACATACTGTGTGTGTGATATAGCATTGCAGTTCTCCCAGTATTTCTCACTTCTTGCCTGAGCCCGATCAAATACTGCTCGCCAAGATACAGCCCCTGAGTTTCACCATCCAATCAAATCCATTCCTCCTTCCTAACTTAAAGCTTTTCTCCCCCCACGCAAAGCTGGTGGGCCCGGCATGTCATTTGTCAGAGTAAGGGCCCACGCCTGCAGTGTGAGGGAGATGCTGCCTCCCACGGAGGATCTATAAGAAATAAGGGGGGGGGAGTACAGAGAAGCCTAGAGAAGTTAAGAAGTGGAGAGAGAAAAAAACGGAAGAGAAAATTAAAACATGAGAGTGAGAGAACAGGGAGACACGAGGACACAATGCCAGGGTGAGAGGGAGTGTGTGTGTGCATGAGCAAGGCGCGGGAGGATGAAAATGAGATGTTCCTAAGACCATGGCGTGGGAAGGAATCCTTTTACGTAGATTCTGGGGAAACCTCTCTCAGGGGAATCTGCCAGAGCAATGTGCCTGTGAGCAGGGAATGACAATTAAGAGAGAGAGAGAATGAGAACGCTGTATTCTGTCAGCAACAATATACCCCCGCTGTAAAGTCTTCCACGCCTACTCGTGATGCAAGTTGAGAGAAGCTAGAGAAATCTAGCAATTAACCAATATTGTTGGAAGCCTGAGTAAAAGACCCTGGCAACCTACGCAGTGCATTCGCACAACAAGGTTAGAGGATTTTCTCTCTCATCTGTACTCCCATGGTTTGAGGAAACTATAACCTCAATGCAAACTGTTGAATGTTGGTGTGAGTCTGAACCCAGTTTTATCAAACAGAGAATAATTTCACCTCCTAAATTTTATTGAAAAGTAACCCCTCTGTTCTCTCAACGTTATTCAACCATGTCTTTAATGGGATGAGCCTCACTATACTCCTTACTATATACCATTCTTGTTGTTGCTATGACTTCCCTGGGCTTGAAGAGACGCAGTAGTTGTGCTCACAATAAATGTTATAAATCTCAAAAGGCAGCAAGCATTATTGAAAAGCCAACCGGTGAGACATGAAATATGATCCAGGAAGTGCAGTTGGGTTAACAGATTGATACATATAAAGGCTTATCAGATGCCAAAACACTACACAAAGGTTTTTAATACTCACAGAAAGGATTTAACTTTAGAAGGTTATCACAGGGGCAAATACTTTATCTTTCGTCATGACAATAGTGAGGTAAACACATTACAAAGTAGTCAACAAGGGGTGTGAGCCTGAGCCTACGCAGAGACATTTTAGAAGAGACACGCCACTCAGTTGCATCCTCAATACAACTCTATGGGGAAAGCCCATAACGGCAAAGATGGCAGTTATCCCGCCCCTCCTACTAGAAAGCCAATCGTATGTGTTTTAACAGCCAAAGCGTGAAACATATTTCAGCCAATCGTGTGGTTCCACTGACGTAAGGGTCTGCTTCACTTCAAATGCACATGCGCGGAAGTGGTGACGCATGTGTAGTAGAGGTATAAACGGTCGGAAAAAACGCCTTTTAAACCTTATTTTGGGGCAAAGTCGTCAAACTTTTTCAGCCTTTTTTAACAGATTTTACTGCAGATTCTAGTCATTTAGTTTTTATGTCCTGGTGACCAGTGAAAGTGCAGTTCTGACTCTCACCCCATTCATTAAGATAGGAGCCTGGTCTTATTAGTCCAAAATAGCTGCCCAGAGGCGTTGCCAAGATGGCGGCAGAGTGGCATGACTTGTCTAGAAGGACTGTGGCCTACTGCAGCCTTTTTGCCAGACGACTATTTCCCAGAGTCCTTCCCGTAGGCTCCCCTGCTGCGTTGATGGACTGGCTTCATTCAAATGAGTGAAAGGCCTGTGTTTTTTACTCAAGGCTGAAGTCGATCTGAACATGCCACCAATTAAGCTCTGATTGGTCGACTGTTTCAAAAAGCCCATGTAAATAATGTGACAACAATGCAGCATCAGGAAATCCATGTGGCTGAAATTATTAGTGCAAAACATGGACTATTACATAGTCGTAAAGTAGTAAAGGTACCAGAGGAATCCATCGTTACCAACACCAACACAACCACCCCTTAAAGGGCTTAACAAAATCAGTGTATTTCTTGAGCACAACACTCTGCAACTGGATATTTGACTTCCTCACAAACAGACCCCAGATAGTTCGGAGTGGCGGTTGTACCTCCTTCACTCTAGTGCTCAACACTGGGACTAACGTTGTACACCCACGACTGCAACCCCATACATGGAGAACTGTTGCTGAAACCACCATCATCGGCCAAATTTCAAACAATGATGAGACTTTATAGCGGGAGGAAATCTTCTCAAAACTGCTCAGAAGATCATTGGTACCTGTCTACCGAGCATCAGTGATATCGGTGAAGTGAGGTGCCTACCTAGGGCCCAAAAGATACTAAACGATACCACAGAATCCAGCCACAGCCTGTTCACCCTGCTGCCGTCTTGCAAGATGTATAGACCTATCTTCTGTCATACCACCAGACTAAAGAGCAGCTTCTTCCCCCAGGCTGTGATATTCTGAAATTCATCCTCAGCACTGAACCATAGAACATTGTTTATTTCTGTTTATAGTTTTATATTTTATTATATTATACGCTTGCTTTATGAGTAGCATGAAGGGAACTACAAACTTAATCTTATTATACAACTGTTATAAAATGACGAATAAATGTATTTTGTATCTTGTGAGCTACAAGCCCAGTTAGTTTTGTGTTGAGTCCTGGCTAAACTGCACACTGCGTAAAAACATTCATACTCTTCTTCATGCAGAATTACTTGGTTGGATTTTGGACGGTGACGAAACCAAGCCAAGTGTGGCAGTCTTTGCATTGTTCAGTACAACACTCAAGTCTGCCATTCTCTCAATTCTAACTAGTTTATTAATAACCTCAATCAATCAGTCACACGTCATAGACAACTAGGGCATCAGGGAAGTGCAGATTTCCATATTTGGAAACTTTCCTCATCTGTGATGCAAAATTTTCTAGCTGTCCAAAAACAAGCTTTTTAAGCAGGAAATATAGATGATGAAATTAAAGCAGCTGGGAAGTAACAGTAATAACAGTAATTGATGACATTTTGAGGAGAAGATGGCAAGGCCACCCACAAGTTAACAGTCATTCAGGTACCAATTCACAGTTCTTGTAACTTTAATACTAAATAAATAAGTCACAAAGTTTTTATAACCTTCCTTAGGTCAACTAAGGTAGCACAAATGGACATTTAGAAAAAAATGCATCTTTAAGGACTAGCCTGTGTGTGTTCGTCCTGTGTTTGTAGCCTCTTTTTCTTCACTGGACTGTAGATATTTTCATCACTGCTCCCCTGCTGAAAGCAATCAATCAGCATCTTGTCTTAGGCTTCAGTGACGCAGGTAAAGGAACTGAGCAGGTCAACACAAGGGAATATTTCAGGCTTGATTTGTGAAGAGGCAGCATCGTGTTGAACAAGCATGCGCTCAAACTGAGGCTGCTTTGAACGTTCATGATGTCCTCACTGAGTGTACTCTTATTCCAGATGGTAAAGAACAAGTGAATGCAAGGAAATCTTTAATGATGCGGTGGTTTGTGAGAAAATACTAAAGTGTAGTCAAATAGTGGTTTGACAAAAATAATCTCCTACTAGAAGTTTTTTAGAGGCAGTGACTGAAATTTCCATTAAGTGACATTTTGCTAAGAAATTTTTGTCAAAATGTCTTCATTGTCTTATAAGGACATTCTACCCTACTATAAACTATTTTGCCAGTGTGTATAGACCATTTTGTGCACTCTTTGACTCTGCACAGTTGAAAAGCAACAATTCAACAATTGTTGATATTAGGGGCTGTGCAATATGACTAAAATGTCATATCCCCGATATACGTCATTTTATATCTCAATAACGATATATATCCCAATATAGAAATTTTTTTGTAAATTCAATGAAATATTATGAACTCATGATTTTTCTCTGCTATTCTGGAGAATTCCAACACTATGACAAATACCATGATATAGAGTGAACGACACAGCAAGTACTGTAACCATTTAACGTTAGCTAGGTTGTTTGTTAGCAAACTGTCACTACTTGCTGCTACAGAGCTATTATTAGAGGACGAGAGCAGCACAACTGCTCCAGACAGCGATACAACTCTCCTGCTGCTACTGCTAACATCACAATAACAGCATGTTTTAGTGAACTAATAGAGTAAGCTGAATGTCTGTGGGCTGACACACACACATCATGGCTGAAACGACTGGAGTAGTGTTGTGTGGCTCGTCCATACAACAGAATTCTCTCTTTGGTATGAGCTCCTCGTTTTTTTGCATGGTCTGATTCCACCTGTTGAGTATTATCCAGTTAAAAGTAAACTTTACTCTCCACGTTTGTTTATTCCTAATGCAAATTTCTTCCCTGCAACACCGGCAAGTGTGGGAGAACGGACCACATTGAATTTAGTTTCAAGTTAGATATTAGTTTTACGTTGAATTGTCTGCAGATGTCTGTCAAATATCCAACTAAAACTAACTTCACCGCAGTGCAAAGCGTCATACCCTTGTAAAGTGTGGTGTTGGCGACACAATGAAATAAATGATAGAGCATAATTTTAAACAATAGACGTTTTGCTACAGTATATACATATATATGTTGTCATTTTGCACAGCCCTAGTTGATATATTTCTAGGCATCTCTGTGTATTGAGGAACAACATACAGTAGCACTTTTTGCCACTGATGCAGAACTAAAGCACATAAGAGCACTCTTGAAAAA